CCAGCATAGCCAGGACTACACTGAGAGACCCTGTCTCAAAAACTAAAAGCAAGCAAACAAATACGTGAATAAGGTTGAGCCCCTGCCCTCAAGAGACAGCACCCAATCCCCCGCCCTGCACTCAGGCTAACTTTACCTCTTTGTCTCAGTGTAGAAAAGTGACAAACCATTTGCTACTTCTGAGGCTTGGCTGTAAAAGGTGACTCCACTCTACCTGGAACTCTAGCGATGCAGATGGCCACATCCTGTATTTACATAAGTCCTTTTCTGCTCCCTGCTCTGTTTGAGCAGGGGATTTCGGGGGGCTTCAGTCCTGCCTCTACGGAGTATTTCACATGGATGGTGAGTCTTTCATCTTCTAGTCTATTCTCCGTATTGATTCAGCCTGACCATCTATGCATCCTGAATGTCCATTGAATAGGATGTACCCAGAGCCACTGACAGGTGCCACAGTTTGAATCAGTGTTCGCCAAAGGCCTATGTGTGAAAAATCTGGTTTTTGAGGCGTGCTTTCGGGAAATCCATTCTAAGCTCCTTTTCAGGTAAAATGGCAGGATTTAGACCGGTGAGCCTTAGAATGGGGTGGGGTGGCGATCCGGACATCAAAGACTGGTGGCAGAGGGATCACTGTTTCTTGACTGTCCTGCAAAGCTGCTCCACAGAGCCAAGCTTGGGAACTGCTCTGATCAACACACTGCTGCTACACATGGAGCTGGTGAGCTGGCTCACTCCGCCAAATTCCCCAACTGCTTCCCCTTCGAAGGCCAATGTTCATCCACTCTCTACCGTTTTTCTCTCTTCAAGCCAACATCTACCGCCGCCTCCAATTCCCTTCCTCCTTCCTGACTCCCATTAACCGCTCCAAACATACATCAGTTTTCCAAAATGAGAAGAATGCCTACAGGAGTCATAAGTAAAACTGTGTCCCCAGAGCTGGTATTCCCTTCTATCTTGAGAGCATCCTGTCGAGGTTGTGACATCAGTTTTGGCCACTTGTTTCAAAGAGTTTGAACTGTCTTGCTTTGTTCTCTGAAGACAGGATTCATCTCTTTAGGTAAGTTTTGCTTGCCAGTCCCCACGGTGTATTCGTGGAGAGTTTTAAGTCCTCAGAAACTTCCATTTGGCAGTGATTCCACTTGCCTCCCCACCTCTGCCTTAGCACTGCCAAGCCTAGATGGCCTAGACATTGTATTAAAAACCAGCTCCCTCTGGGACAAGCCTAGAAGACATTGGCACAGGACTGCAACTATCTATGGATGTTCAGTAGATTAAAAATCTTCCTGGCAGACAGGAATTTTGTCAGGATCCACCCACTGTGGCCAGCATTATGTAAAGGATAAAGGAGTTCACTGGCTCGTAGCCATCTAACAGAATTCGGTCAATATAAAATGAGTGGATTGTGCCTACACGGAAGATATGCCTGCCACTCGTTTCTAAACAAGTGGACCAATAGAAAGTTGCAATTTGGGGGCGCTTAAAAACAACTCTGAATTTATATTGGGGAAGATGGTGCATTTTTAACTTCATGCTCTCAGAAATTAAAAATAACTCTTTTAGCCAGCTGTTGCTCCTTTTCTGGGAGAGTCGGGAGGTGAAGAGGCACCACATGGTTGACGAAACTGCGCTGAACTGCTGCGTTAGATTGATTACGTTTTGCAGTACCTGCATGTATGTTGAACGTCCGCGTCTTTTCTTTTTTTCTTTTTTTTTTTTTTTAATGCCATGGTCAACAGTCTATCCATCGCCACGTCTCAGTCATGGTCAATAATTCCTGATGATGCAATTTTAGGTTATCTCCCCTGGAAGCCACCGGTCATTTTCTAATTCAGCATTCCTGAAACCCTTGAAGTCCACCTTGGCCCACTACCCACCACGCCCCTTCTCCCTCCACCGAAGAGAGTCCGGACAACTCAAGGTCCGCAAGACAGGTTGCAGCCCAGCCCTGCCCAACGGCCTTCTGGGAACTGTAGTTGTGACTTCTAACACAGCTGCCATATAGTGGAGTCTAGGACTACAGATCCCTACAGGCCGCTCGCACCGCGCCTGCGTGCGGGCACCTGCTAGAGGGAGGGTTAAGTCGTCCCGGGAGCAGAGCAAGTCGGCGGAGGAGGCTTTGGCAGCGGCTGGCGACATGGACAACGCAGGGAAGGAGCGAGAAGCGGTCCAGCTGATGGCGGAGGCCGAAAAACGAGTGAAGGCCTCCCACTCCTTCCTCCGAGGACTGTTCGGGTGAGCGCCAGAGTTCTTGACCTTAGGGGTCTTGGTGCCCGGTCCCCCACCCAGCCGGCTGCCACCGCAGAGTGCCTCGCACAACTGCTTAGGGTTCTGTGTTCCCAGCGGCCTTCAGAACACAGCCAGGTGGCTCATGCTCGGCCTTGGGTCCTGCAGCCCCTAGGGGCCATTGCATCCCCTGGGCCATGCCTTGGGAGCTCTAGTCTGCACACATCTCCTTACGGAGATCCTCAGGCCTTGGGCATCCCCACATACAGCCCGAAGAACCCATAACCCTCAACCCCCAGGCATCCAGAACCCCATAAGAGCCCCTGGAGACTTCTGTGTACTCCGACTCCTCTCGTGTGGTCTGATATTGGTGGCAGGGTCAGCGCCGAGCTGCCCCTCCGGGAACACCACCTTTCTAGGGGACCGGATTGATTAATTTACCCGAGTCTGAGCCATATATCACTTGGGGTAGCCAGACGGGAAGGTCCTGGAACTCAGCCTGGCGCCTGGCATCTGCGAGAGGCTCACAGGAGCGTGAGGTCAGCGCCCCTTGTATCCTGGGCACTTGTCGGCTTGCTTCGGCCCACAGGCCTTGCAATCATTTCCTCGGGTGGTGTGTTTTTCCTTTGCTGGAGTGATTATCCATAGCCCGGGCCTCCTGTTTGATGGACCATAACGTTGCCTCTGTTTAAAGTCAGTATCTTTTGGGAATCCCGTGATTTGGTGTAATTCTTACATGCTGTAGTAGGGGGAGGCTTTACATTCCGAGCTCTCAAAAGGCAGAACCTGAACTGAGAGCTTGTGGAAGAATTCGGGGCTGTTGATTATGCGAATGATTCAGCTGTTTATGACAGCGGCAGAAATTACGCGTGTACCTCATTTTTTTTTCATTTGAAAGTGAAAGATCTTTACCAAGAGCAGATTTAAATTATCGGGAAGGACTAGTAGTACATACTTAACTACCGCAATTTGAGACACAATTTTATTTCTGTACAAATTCAATTTGGACACTTAGTTCTAAAAACACACCCAGTGAGCTTTGACTTGTTTTTTTCCAACTTCTTTCATTTAACTGCTAATTATAATATTCGTTATTATGTAACAGTTTAGTGGAACCCCGTTATGTTTCCATCTCCAGGAAATGCTTAAGGTCACTTTGATACAGTGCAAGGTACCGTGCTCTGCCAAGATAAAGGAGACCACCCTTGGAGACCTCTAAGGGCATTTATCACTACTAGGTCCTAAATTTCTCAAGAAATACAAGGCTTGGAACTGTAGCTGTAAATTATGGATAATTTGTTTCCCCTTTAAGGGGGACAGGGAGCATTCTTTGTATGTAATGTAAGTGCCAAATACTAATTCTTGTCTGAATCACAAAACACAGGAGATTCACTGTGTGAAATTTAATGGTAGGGTGACTGCCTCACCATGGGAGGTGATTTAATGCACCATGAGTTTCAAATCGTGTTTCCTTGAGCCAGTTACGGGCATTTCTTTTGGTCAAGAGGCCCGAAGTTTTGAGGAAACTAGGTCAGATCTTGAGTCAACTAAAAAATTTTGAGGAATCTTGATTACTGAAAGAAGGTTTTATTGACTGTGGCTGCCTTGTCGGTGACAGGCCCTGTACGAAGACTCATCTTCTGCCATTCACACGCAGTTTGCCGAGAGTTACTACTTCCTACTCATGTGGAAGCAGCAGGTCAGGTTATGATCATGGCTTTGGAACCTGGATCAGGGTAACTTTGCATCTTTGGGCCTCAGTTTTTTCTAGTATAATCCACAGTGTATCTCGTGAGTAGTGATCAGTTTATATATTTTTAAAACACTCAGGCTTGTGGGTGTTGGAAATGGTTGTCAGGTGATTATCCACATATGCATCAAAGCTGTCGACTCCACACATCAAGGAAGCAGAGGGCAGATGGATTGAGTTTTGCAGGATTTTGGAGCCAAAGACTTGGTCACTGGTCTTTTAATAAATACCTTAAGAGTTTTAGCCAGGTTAAGTGTCCTTTGTACTATGAGGACTGGGACTGGGAGGTTTCCAGTCATATTTGGTCCTGGAAAGCTTAGGGGAAAAAGAATATATAGAGCTTCGTGAGATTGATTATAAGTATGCAGTATTTGAAACCCCAAACCAGACCTATTTCTCTTTGACTTATAATGGGAAGACTAAGATTTTGTATCAGTATTAGATGTTTAGAGTTCTAAAGGTGTAACATTACGTGCATCTGTCATCACCCCTATGTTGCCCTGCCCTGCCCCCTTAGGTTTTATCTTTCATTTATGGTAGTGCCATCTACCTCCATGTGATACCCTCAGGCTAACGGAGAATTCATAATCGCATGTCTAGGTTCACCCAAGTATCACTGTTCCATCTAACGGGATGGACAGGTGATGTTTTGAGGATGTGGGGGACGTTTAAAAAGGCATCTGGCTTATCGCAGATGTTTCTCGTCGCTGGCTGTTCATCTCCCAACTGCAGATTAAAGCCTAGCTTGAGTTCATCTCCTGTATGCTGCACAATACTTTTGTGGTGATACTGCGTTCTCAGGATTGTTCCATAAATCTGTCTGTTGTTGCGTTAGATGGAAATATGCATGGATATTCCCAAGAGTGGGTCCTTTGGATAGTTCCTCTGTGTGTAAGCTACAAGCTTTTTCTATCTGGAAGCTGGAGGTGGGGAGGGAGCATCAGTGCATTCCTTTTCCCCAGCAAAGTCTCTTGCAGCTTCCCTGCAGGAAAATAGTTGAGGAAGGATGCAGACATGTCTGCAACCAGTTTTACGTTTGTTCGGTTTTCTTTCTAATTCCTGGCTAAAGAGTGATGTGTCTTTTTAGTTGAGTCCAAACTCTCTTTTTCTGAAGAGCACAGTATAAAACCACTGCTTAAAAAATCAGATTTTCAGTTAGTGCATTACTAGAGAGGGGCTGTGGAAATTTGTGGTTAACTTCAGATTCTAGTTTAAATCTCAAACTGCTAGAATGATCTGAAACTGGCCAAACTGACAGTAGGATACTTTCAAACTGCAAAGACCTGCTTGCTATCTTCATTTGTTGCTAGGGGAACACAGGTAGATGACCAAATCCATACTTAGGAATGGCAGGAGAATGTTTCTGAGCTATCTTCATTGGTTTGTTTTTTGTTTGCAGTTTGTCTGGGTGCAACTCCCAGGCTTTGTACTTGCTAGGTAAGTATTTATCCGGCCACTGAGCTACGTTCCCAGCCCCTGATGGTTCCTTTGCCGTGTTCCTCAGTCTTGGGCTAATTAAAGTGTTATCTATTTGGTGTAAATTTAGTGAAGGATCCTTTTGGGTTACTGCAACTAAGCATGAATTTACTTAATATCTGTTTGTGAAAGTTCAAATATTTCTTGGGCTATATCCATATTCTCCACTTGTTTTTATTCCAGTGAAGATTGTGTTTCCATGTTTAGCATGGTCATTTGAGAGCCTTGATAGCATTTATATCTTTCTCAGTTAACAACTAATACTTAAAATATAGATTCACCTTTTTAAAAAGTCATTAATCAGCTAGACATCATGGTATTCACCTTTAATCTCAGCAATAGGGAGGGAGATGTAGGTGGATCTCTGTGAGTTCAAGGCCAGCCTGGTCTACATAGGGAGTTCAGCCTGGTCAATGTAGTGAGTCTTAGGACAGCCAGGGATATGTAGAGAAATGTCTTGAAAACAAAAAGAGCAACAACAATAACAGTAACAAAATCATTATTGTAATCCCTCATGCCTTTGATCTTAGCAATCAAAAGGCTGAAGCAGGAGGATCTTGAGCTTCAGGCCAGCCCATCTCAAAACCAAGACAGAAAATGTAGATTTGGTTACTTACAGAGACAGATGTTACAGTGTAAGAAGTGTGGGAGAATTTGTGTTTGTTTCTTATAAATGTAAAAGCTAAGATATAGATAACTATATGTTATATAAAAGAGAAATAATACTTGCCATTTAAATCTGTAATTCTAGAATTTTGTACTTTGGATTTTTTTTTTCAGATATTCCTTATTTCTGAGAATTACTCATGAGTGTTGTAAATAATATTACCCTGTCCTGGTTGATTTTGTTTGTTTGTTTTTATTTTTGTCAACTTGATGAAAGCTAGAGTTAGCTGGGTAGATGAACTTCAGCTGAGAAAATGTCTGCGTAGATTGGTCTGTAGGCAAGTCTGCATGTAGTTTCAGTGCACAGGATGGAGGCAGCCTTGAGTTCCATAAGAAAGCAAACCAGTAAGCAGCATTCTTCCATGGCTTCTGCTTCAATTTCTGCTTCCAGGTTCTTGCCTTGGCTTCCTTCAGTGACCTGTGATCCTGTGATCCAGGACATGTAAGCCAAACAAGATTCATATAGGTAAAACAGAGACAGCAAATTAATACCCCTGCAAAAAAGAGCCAGAGGAAAAAATAAATGTTAAAGAAATCAGAAAGCAATAAAGGTAAAAGCATAACTAAGGAAGAAGGCATGAAAATAAACTTTTTCTTCCCAAGTTGCTCTTGATTATGATGTCTTGTCTTATCATAAGAAACCCTAAGACGTCCCCAAACTGTCTTTTTTGAAATATCAGGAAAATAGGTGTAAACCAAGAGTGCCCATGTCACTAGATCATATTAGCATCCTAGTTAAAGGAAACTCTATGCCCTGTTAGACCTTCATAATGTGTTC